TCTTTGATGAACCACCAGCAACAGCAGCAACCAACAAACTACAGCAACCTTCCTAGCGGTAATTATCAGCAGCCAGATATGATGCATGGTGCGTCCATTCATATTTTGCCTTGTATGCATTGCGATTGATTGTTTGATATACGTCAATGGTCAAGCAGATGGATACGGAGGGCAGCCAGGTTTTCAGAATCAACTGATGCACCAGTCTTCGCCCATTTCTGATGAAATGATGGCTGCACAGTGCGACTCGCGTTACATGCGGCTTACGGTCAACGTTTTGCCTCACTCACTTGACCACGCCAACAAGTCTAAACTTACTTACGGGTTGATTATTCGTCCATTGGCGCCATCTGATGATGGCCGTGATTTGGATGTGGTGAATTTTGGCCCTACTGGTGTCGTACGTTGCCGCCATTGTCGTACTTATATGAACCCGTTTGTGCAGTGGGTAGATAATGGCCGCCGCTGGCGATGCAATCTTTGTGGCGTGTCTAATGATGTCGCCAGCTCCTATTTTTGCCACTTGGATGCAAATCAAAAGCGTCAGGACCGTAATGAGCGTCCCGAATTAAATTCTGGCAGTGTAGAAGTTATTGCACCTTCAGAGTACATGATGCGTCCTCCTCAACCACCATGCTACGTATTTGTCATTGATGTCTCAGCTACCGCAGTGGCATCAGGCTCTGTTCAGATTGCTGTTGATACGATTAAAAAACAGCTTGATAATCTCCTTGGTGCTCCTCGCACGCGAGTGGGATTCCTTACGTACGACAATTCGATTCATTTTTATAATCTGAAGGTTTGTGCTCGGATTGTAAATTTTTTGAAAAGTGCGTCGAATGTTTTAACAAGTTATATGGCTACTGACAATTCATAGTCTAATCTGAAGGCTCCACAAATGATGGTGGTTGCCGATCTTGATGAGCTTTTTATCCCTATTCCGGATGAACTTCTAGTGAATCTTAGCGACTCGCGAGAGATTGTCGAGATGCTGCTCGAAACGTTGCCAGCAATACACCAGAACGCTTGCTTGGCAGAAACTGCGCTTGGACCTGCAATTCGTGTTGCGTTTAAACTTATGGTACGCGTCGACATATTTTGAAAAATCTGATAGTGGTACTGATTTCGCGTTCGACCTCAGTCATCAATTGGCGGTAAAATGCTCGTTTTTCAGAACTCGCTGCCCTCGACTGGTCACGGAGCGCTCCGTAATCGCGATAACCCTCGTATTTACGGAACAGACAGGGAACATACGCTTTTGCAAGCTGTAGACACGTACGTCTTTCCAACTTGTTGCTCATTTTGTAATACTTTGCTCACGTTAGGTCACCACTTGCAGCTTCTACCGTACCAATGCTATTGATTTTTGCCGCCAACAAGTTAGTGTTGACTTGTTCCTCTTTTCCTCAATGTACACGGACATTGCTTCCATGGGTACACGAATTTTGTTTAGTTCGCTCTTGTCCCCGACTAACATGCAAACTTACGTGATGGTAAAATTCAGGCCCGCTGTCAAAGTACTCGGCTGGGCAAGTTTACTATTACCCAGCTTTTAGTGCTGAGCGCGACGGCGAAAAATTTAGCAAAGAATTGGCGCATTGTTTAGTCCGCGAAACTGCATGGGAGGCCGTGATGCGTGTGCGTTGTACGAAAGGAATGCGACTTGCAAATTTCTATGGCAATTTTTTCTTGCGGGGGCCGGACCTTTTAGCGCTCCCAACTTGCAATGCAGATTCAACTTTCGCTGTGGAGCTGACGCACAGCGACGCTTTATTAACTTCATCGACGATATCCGTACAGGCTGGCTTGCTGTACACAAATTCAGGTGGTGAGCGACGTATTCGCGTGCATACTGTCTGCATCCCTGTTACGAAGCGTACGTCCTATTCAAATTGTCATGCGCTGATGCTATAGTAACCATGACTTCATCTTTTGTTTCGCCTTAGTTTTTGCGGAGCTATTCCACCAGGTTGATCAAGATGCTCTGTGCAATATCATGGCAAAACATGCGCTAGAAATCGCTCTTAAAACGGGTTTAGACAGCGGTCGCTCACTTTTGCAGACTCAGTGTGTTGATATTGTGCGCGCCTATCGTAGCTCTGGTGTTTACGGTGCAAAGCAGACGTCTAGTTATCAGCTGCAGCTCCCAGAGTCATTGCAGCTACTTCCTCTATACATCGTACGTCGGTATTGTTGGTCTGTGAAGCTTTGAAGTAAAGTCTGACGCATACTTGTTGACATGTAGATGTCTCTATTGAAAAATTCGACCCTTCGTGGTGGTATCGACTTAAATGTAGACGAACGTGCATTTTTGCAGTATGAGGTATCCCAGAATTACTTTTAATCACAAGGTTTTTGTTTTCACTGATGTGAATTTGTTGTGCAGCTGAACAACATGCCTGTTGAACTGTCGCGTGTATTTATCTACCCGCGAATGTTCGCTTTGCACGACATGCCACCAGAAGCGGGTTTGCCTGCTGCAAAAGACGAAGCCAACGAGAGTGATGATAGTGGCGCTACCAATTCTATCGTGCTCCCGCCGGTTATCAATCTCTCAATTGAGCGATTGCAATGCGACGGAGTGTTTCTGTTGGACGACACGCTGAACCTATATTTGTGGGTAGGTCGCTCAGTGTCCCGTGAAATTTTAGAGAGTCTGTTTGGCATTTCTTCGATGGAAGGCGTGGACTGCAATCAGGTAAGATGCAAATTATCTTGATGGATGCGACATAATCCACTAACTGAGTTTCAGTTAAAACTTGTAAACCCGCACGATGATACGAGTATCCGAGTTGCTGCAATCTTGTCGGCAATTCGTTCTGAAAGATTGCCTTATCAAAACGTTTTGATCATGCGGGAGGGTGACCCAAGTGAAGGACGCTTTTTTTGGAGGCTTGTAGAAGATCGGGCCAGTTTTCCCGGTGGATCGTACTCGTACTCAGAGTACTTAGGCCAGATCAGCCGGTTGAGTCTTTCAGGTGGAAATGGTGGCAGATAGAATGCAATACATGTCGCGAATTGGAAAACCAGCTCGGTTACTACAATAATGCGAATGGATTAGTAATGCTCCTCTGCATGGGTGTATAGGCGCTGCACACTCCGCGGCTTTTCTTTTGTGCTGCCTTGTCTTTTTTAGCACCCTAGACGTCTGTCATCTGGAATGTGAGAAAAATATAAATAGGGAAAATAATAGTTTGCGTAGTCCAAGTTATGTCACCATTTGGGATACAGACTGCAAATTTTCCAATAGATTTAGTCGACTATCCAAATCACAAATCAACAAAACTCTCATCTTTACAGTAGAATGAAAAGCAGGACCGGCATTCTAAGCATGATGCAGCTGAAAAGCAGGCGATCAATCTGGAGAAAGAATTATTATTAGTTGTGAACTTCATTAAAAGTCAGGTAAAATAATTGCTGCAAATTTAAAAATGTAAAAATATTTTTACATATTTTATACACCAATTATCTTATTTATTATTGAGAGAATTGTCCACAGGTAGTTAATTTCAAGATGAGACGAGCCACAAAATGCACTCCAGTTTCTCTTGTAAATTTCTCTTGCAAAGTAATGACATTTTTAGCCGGCATAAAAAAATAACCTGTTTCACAATTTGACAGCTAAAAAATTGATAAGAGAGAAAAATTATGCGTCCACGGCAAATTTCTGGGTAAATTGTGCCTGCTTAGATCGTCTTAGAATCTCATTTTGTGGGCACATGTTATAGTTGACTACCAATATACTTTGTACGGCAAAAGCCCCTTGTTCAACAGATGCGCGGACACTTTGAGCTTCTCACATCGTGCCATGAGGTGGCCAGGGACACCACTAAGCGGCTCTAAGAATTTCGGGCATTAGTAGCATAAGAAAGGGCTAATTATCTCTACATTCAAAACATGTGAAGCTAAATATGTAGCAGCTGTCATATCGGCTGTATTAGATATGCGATGGGACCCGGTTGGAAGTTTTGACAATTGCAACATTAGATGAGACTGATTGGCTAAGAGTAGAATTTCAGCACATTGTGAGGGTCAACCTTCATTTCAATTTTTCCGATCCCTCCTAGGATTTTACTTCATAAATATCGAGTCGACAAAAAAATGATGATATACATTAAGCGGTTTATTGTTACACATGGTGTGGTTGGCTATACAGTTCCATGGCTCTCTGGCACACGTCTATTGTGAATTGTTGTCTTCCATCTCATTTGGTGATAACGAGAACGTGGTGCAAGTTAATTTCTTACATTCTCAAAACAGCCATGACACACGCTCCTGTGCAATATTCGATGCTGTCACAACAGTTCTTCGTCACGGGAACCTCAGAATGCCGAGCACGAGCGAGGTCCGTTGATTTTTCAAGCATAGAGCGAGTTGCCAAAACACAAGACACGGTGCAAAATGAATGCTTACGTCCTTTAAATCAGCAAGCCACAAAGGAGGGCCAGCCTATAAACTATTCGATGTTTTCGACGCGATTTTTCGTGACGGAGTCTACAGAGAGATTGGGGCTTCGCCGGTCACATGCGACATTCGTTGATCTCTCAAGCACGCCTCTTGTCTCGGACGAACTGCAGCCTCAAGATGCAACCATTTGCGGTAAAACGGATGACTGCGAATCATTTTCAAGCTCGACTTTGACGAATTCATCGTCGCATGATCCATCGCGAGCAATTCGATTGCAAGGCTGGATGTACTGGGCCCGTCGTGAGGATAGTGTCGCACTCGAAGCTGAGAGTTACACAAAAGTGTACGCGGTACTACGTAATGAATTTCTACTGCTCTACCGCTATGACCAGCGTCCGTGCAAGCAGCTTCGGTTGCAACCTTTGGTGCACATTGCAGTCGCTAGCTCATGGCGTAGTGTAAGCGGTGTTCTTCACGTGAAAGATCCATATGATGAAGAGATGGAGTTACATTTATACGGACCGGAGGACTTTGACATGTGTCGACGGTGGGGCGACGCCCTCGAGCTAGCTTCGGAGATTACTCAGGCGCATCTTTTAAGCCTCAAAAACGAAGAATTGTCACAAGATAGCATTTATCGTGGCACACTACAAAATTTTCGTTTGATACGCGACAGATCCATCCGAAAATCTGTCCCACGCTTGACACAAATGAAGAAATCCATGCGAAGGCTTCTCCTGACTCAGAAATCTAGTCGTAATAACTCCATCTGACTTGTCCCGCAATAAAATATTACAAGCCTCTTATCTATTCATTGCTCTACAAGACTAACTAAGCACACCCTCTTTCTGGAGATAATCCAGCTTTATCGAAACTTAAAGACCGTATGAATCGTGAAGAACCGGTTATAATTCAAGGGGTCGACAGCTTGATCTATGTGCTCCACGAGACGTCGACATTAGCATGGGTGCTGACGACCAATTGTATCGTTGAATAAAGACGCGACTCACTATTTATTGCAAAACCTACGTTTGTTACTTACAATTCCTCTAGCTTGTATTTTGAAAAATTCGATGCGACAACCACGGTTACGCTTTGGGGGCACAAAGCGAATTCGGATAGAATGCTCAGCGCGAAATCGGATTTAAATTGAAAAATCTCACGATCTGCTTACGAGCTTCTTCTGCATCATTTCTCCGTAATGTGCGTCCTCTCAAAATTCTAAGCTGTAGATTTACATCTAACAAAGATGTGGATCAGGTTCTGTCAACTTGCTCTTGTTTAACCCGATATAAAAATCAAGGAGCATCTTTGCACAAATCCCCAATTACGCCATTGACTCGATATAAACATTGAGTCACAAATTTGATTCTGAAGACTTCTGAAAATAATAAAGCTGATAACTTCAATTCAGACTGTAAATATCATAATATTGGTTTTCAGGAAGGGGCTAGCTCAACAAACATCCCATGCACTATTACCATATCGCTATGAAATGTGAAAGAGCTGTAATCGTGGATCCGCTGGTAGCGTAAATGGTAGGCCTGTCCTCGGAGCTCTTGTACATGTTTAGCTTAGAGGGATTGATTGGAGCTAAAGATCTTAATACTCTAATATCTCAACGCGTTCGTTCTCTTCATGAGGTCTAAGAACCTTGACTTATCGCATTTATCGCAAGCTTTTTTCTCATTCAGCGAAATCTTGCTGCTTTTCTTGAACAAAATCGCTGCCTTAAGAATTGGTCGGCATGCTTGGACTCTGGTCAAAGCTATTTCGCGTGATGTTTCAGCTCGCTTGTGCAGATTGGCACAATACCATGCTGCCAGCGAACGTCGTGTATAACGTCTGTCGTGAAGAAGTTCCGTTATAATATCGGCATAAAAAGACTCTTTTGCAAAGACATAACACTTCTGTAAGTATCAATTTCTCTGTCTGACTAATTACAAAGTCTAGTACAAAACTTGTGCGCTCGAAGTCACTGTTAAAGGTCTAGCGGTCATGACAAGAACATGACATACTCAAAATCACAATTAAAAAAAATTCTGAAAATGCCAGACATCACTCGAAATTGTCAACGGAAACTGATCCTATTTCACTAGCTATTCTGCTTCCGTATTGGCTGATACTATTACTTGAATATATGCCTTCTAATTTTGATTGTCAATGTTTAGACAATTAGGTTGTATAGATTGTTTCACGTTCGACAAACACGCGTAATTTAGTTTATATCGTGCTATGAAACCTCGACAACAGCGTTAAGCATCGCACTGCCTTTGATAGCTGTAAAATGATGGAAGCTTGAGAGAGGGCTGGTAGGAAGACCTCAATACACTATTTTGTTGCATTTCTTGGCTCTATTACTTCAATGCATCAGTCGCACAAAAACTTGCACGCGAATTTTTTTAGCACTGTAAGGATAGCAGCCCAGTACGGGCCAGGCGTTATGTAATTGGATGTAATCGACGACTATCACTGATCAACAATCACAAACTTTGGCAGACCAAAGATTCTATCTAGGCTAACGTGCTGATAGCTTAAACCGTATATTTAGGCAGAAGTCTAGTCATGAAAACTGATTTTAATGTTGTGCAACGATAAGTTCTACAATAAAAGACAGATGAAATAAAACAACAACTTGGCAGAAGAAAGCTCAGCTCTGAAATCAATCTCATAAATTTTAAGGCCATTTTTGTGGCGATCGAGACAGAAGCGTGTAAGTGTAAGATCCATTGACTTTACCGCCAAATGAGACATTTGCCGAGAAGTGCAGAACACCAATTGTTAAACACATAGTAAAAAAGCAATGCTACAAACATCGGTACGAAAGTAGTGCTATTACGAGGAGTTAGATGAATCAAGGCGCTTATGCAAATGCATGACATCTGATAATTCGCGGAGGGGTGTTGAAATCTAGGCCAAATGATTTAGTGTTACTTCGATCATCGACAATCAGTTAAGCATTCCAGTTGTTATAAAGTTCTTTACAAAAACCTCATGGTGACCAAGAAAGTCGATGCAAAAGTTTTTATTATTGATGTAGCTAACCAGTGATCAGCAGACACAACGACTCTAAGAGGTCAAAGTCGTCGGGCTTGAAATTTGTCAATGAAGCCATGAAAATGTCAAGCATTAGATGGATACAGAGTGAACCAAAAAAAGGAGATGGCAGCCATTGCACCTATTTCCAAAGCCCTTTTAGTAGAAGGCTGTCGTAAATACGTCGTATTATTACAAAGTTGGTGATATAGAGAGAAAATTGAGCATTTATACGTCCCAAGTCGATTGAAAAACATCACCATTTAATGCCTAATGGGTTCGATTGCTCTAGCTTTGGCACAGCGTGATATTGTGTGTGCAGCACTTTTCGCGCTGTTTCGGTAAACGGACTTCCCCCTAGATATTTTTCATACAAATATTGTACTGCGGGATTGGCAAAGGGGTCACGGACGCGCAGCTCCTGGAAGCGCTTCGTGACATTGTCAAGCAGCTCTGAAGCTTTAAGCGTCGACTTGGGTTTGATCTGTCCGCCACCATTTAAGCAACCGCTTGGGCACGCCATGATCTCGACAAAGTGATATGGACATTTCCTCCGCCTGATCTTTGTCATAATCGACTGAATATTGCGAAATCCATAAGCAACAGCAAATCTCAAGACATCTTTGCCTTCTACCACCAGCGATACCTCACGAAAGTCTGGATTACGACCTGCTACATAGTCTAGAGGACCAATTACGTCCACGTTAAATAGCTCCTTAGCTGCGAAGCGAAAAATATGTTCAAGATGACCCCCTGAGGTAGCATTATAGCTGCTACCTAACACAGTGGATCCGTCCTCAGAAACACCGCTCAGCATTACTTCCTCGGGTGTCAGGCTCGCAAGCTCAAGCGAGGCAAAATCCACTTGCAAAGATTCAATTAGCATAATAATTTCCGTGGTAGCAAGCACGCAATCCACATCTTTCGTTGCATCCTCTGGGTCCTGGAAATCCTTTCGGGACGCCTCCAACTTTTTATCAAAGCACGGCATTATCGCGACATGGTACACTTGATTTGGTTTAAAGCCGTGCTCGCGACATACAAATCGCTTGATGATCGAGCCAGCAATTTGTTGCGGGGATTTTGTTGTATCAATGAATGGAATTGCATTCGGTTGCGATTTTTCAGCGTAACAAATCCATCCAGGACACGAGGCTGCGAGCATTGGCAATGCTGAAAGCGGGTCTTGTCGTGGATTGACAGCAGTGTTAGGCTCCAAGTACTGTATTTCGGCAGACGAAACAGCCACGGAGGATGGCGGTCGCGCCCAGATAGTATTTTTCTTGTTGCGATACCTGTAAAGAAACTCTGCACGAGATTCAAGCAACGCAAAGTCTCCGCTGGACGTGGAGTCGATTACCAGGTTTACTCCGAGGCTTCGAAACAGCGTCACGAGCTTACGGTGCACAGTAATAACCGGCATGACAAAGTGCTCAGCCAACGATGCTCTTGACTGCGGCGAAAGTGTTGCTACTACGTATTTGTGCGTTTTAGATGCCAATTTGCTCAGCATCTCTTTGTAGCTTTGCTGCGAAATCAGCACTGTCTCGGCTGACGTAACACAACCACTGCAGGCTAGACAATCATCCAGTGAGATAGTAGCTTTTTCGTTTGCTGAGGTGCGAATGATGTTGGCTTTTGAAGGCTGTGGCGCCACCAAGTCCACATCCGACAGCTCCGTCTCTAGCTTTATCGTAGTCACGCCATCTGTTGTGCTATTGCCTTTGTCCGACGTGAATAGAGGGTTTACGCATGCCTGCGATGGCTGAATATAATCATCAAGATCGCCAAGGAACACAGATGCCTGCAAGCAAGATAACTTAGGTAAAAGAAAGTCTCAGGATAACTTGCATGGTGCCAATCAACCCACCATTAGTTGAAAGTGATAAATTTAAAGGTTTTAGCAATAGTCGAAAAAGTGTGGCGTACTTGAAATACGATTGTTACACTTTGTCGTGATTCCATGCTCACACCCGCCTCTCCTCCACATGTGTGTGCCATGCTGGTGGCTGCTTCATACAAACGGCGTCAGTCCTTCCAAATGACGTCGCGTTTAGCCCGATCGCTGACAACTCACCCCACAGCTAAAGTGGTAGCTGCTACAGGCACTGTCTCATCCATTGACAGCGCAGATATCATTCATCTGGGCAAAGTAATAACGCTCAAGGACCGCTTGATGATCTATAGTCAGTTAAGCAAGGCGCGTCTCAGTGCGCTGGTAGTCATGACGACGGGTGCAGGCTTCCTGATGGCCGGTGGTCCCATATCATGGAGTACCTTTGCGGCTGCCACTTTGGGAACGTCGCTAGCCGCAGCCTCAGCCAATACATTTAATCAATGCTGGGAGGTGGACCTTGATGCTAAGATGCAGCGCACACACCGCCGACCGCTGCCTTCAGGACGTATCTCACAACCTCATGCGCTGGCCTTCGGAGCAGCTACAGCCACGGCCAGCACTGTCATCCTCGCGACTGGATGCAGCCCGCTGGTTGCGTCATTGGGCTTGTTTAATATCGGACTTTACTCACTGGTTTACACGCCTATGAAGATGAAAAGTGAGCTTAACACTTGGGTGGGCTCCATCGTAGGCGCTATTCCGCCAGTTATGGGCTGGGCAGCCGCCACAGGCACACTATTGGCGCCCGAAGCCGTGTTGCACGCTTACTTGATGTATTGCTGGCAAATGCCTCATTTTTTTGCGCTGAGCTGGCGCTCACGCAAGGACTACGGACGTGGTGGTTACAAGATGGTGGCTTGCAATGACCCAACTGGTTCTCGAAGTGCAGCGTTGGCACTGCGTTACTCATATTACATGGGCGCGATTCCCATTATAGCTTCCATAACAGACACCACGAGCTACATGTTTGCGGTAGAAGGTTCGATTGTGAATGCGTATGCCATTTATTTGGCTCACAAATTTTACGCAAATCCCAACAATGCAACTGCGCAGAAGGTCTTTATGGCGTCGCTATGGTATCTGCCAGTCGTAATGGGCTGCATGGTGCTACATAGTCAAAATTGGATGGACAAGGATGAGATTGAACAGAACAAAGATGTTCGAGTGTGGCGAGAAGCTTTTCTCGGGGAAGTAGAGAATTTTGGGAACTTTCAGTCTAACCAAGTATCTGAAAACTTTGATAAAAATACCATGTCGGCGTGGTTCGTCTCCAAGGTGCGCGCTGTGCGCCGCTGTATGCGAGAATTTTGCATTCACGAGAATTTGTGGGGGGTGAAGAATGGTCAGCATCATGCTGACAAGACCAATGTACTTTGCCCTGTTCACGTGGGCAATCAGGCGAAAGAGACCATGGCAGTCACAACACCGACTAAGAAGGACTTGTAAGACACTTTTGTCTTGACGAAATCTTTTCAGAGCGCATTGATATATACTGATAGATATGACTTAAACTTTTGTAAGGACTGCATATCCATTTATGATAAACCACTTCATACTGACCGGAGGGACGCGCTTTCATTTGAATAATCGAGAGCTTCAGTATCTCCGACTTTTCCGGCACCGTAACCACACCGATAACAACATTCGAAAGAAACTCGAAGTTGTTGGAAACAAGTTAAGTCGTACCTAAGTAAACCAGGAGGAGTTATAAAACTCCCA